ATTGCTCAACTTTGACGCTTACAAAAGGTATAGCAGAAAAACACACGCGGATGCCTCCGCCGGACCTAAAAACCGGGTAGAGAACTTTGGAATCAAAGAAAACCCTGATTCTACATTGTTTACTGGCTCTAATTGCAAACACAGGTCGTCATTCTTTATCGAGACGTTAGACAAAATCACAATGGACAAAATGGCACATAGAAATTTCAGTTTTCATCATGATAAAAAACATCACATCATAGAGAACAAAAATAGCCTTTAAACCAAAATGCCGGAATAAATATTGTGCATTATTCTGCGTGGTCATACGCCATATATAAGTCAGCTCTCGGGCCCGGCTTTAGTCGAGTAATGGAGAATAAGCTAAACCAATTTTGCAATAGAGAGTCTCATTGCACGCGGTTCAACCGCTATAAAAGATGCTAAAACATACCTAAACGTCTCTCTGCTCTTTATCGATGCTAACAGTAAGTCCAACTGATATCCCCATTTGCTCTTTTCAAAGCGAGGGCAGAAATGATGTCACCCCACTTGCAAAGCAAATTTACATGTTGCAATTGGGGTAAATTGTGATAGAACTAAAAGTTATGCATTTATCTCGCGAGAATCCAATTGCTTTTGAACTTGCTTTTCAATGGTTATTTAGCCTATTTAGACCATTATATTTAAGTCGTATCTTTTCGATTTTTCAAAACTTTTATCCAAATAGTTTTCAGCAAAATAAGAAGAGTCAAAGAGCTCATGTTACGACGTTCTACTTCCCGCCCAACTACGTAAAGGGAAATTTTATCAATTTGCCGCTCTGAAGTGTACCACTCTCCGAATCATCGGTAAGATCCCATCAAGATGCACCTGGTGCTTGTTGGAGAGATGACTGGAGGGGAATTTCGAAAGAGTTGAACCCAAGCAAGATCTGAACAATGTGCAGTAAGCGTCGTAACAAAAATGGTTCATCGATAGTTAAATAAAAACAAACCGGGTCAGTTAATGGATCAACCATGGCATTCCCGTCAGCCAACAAAGTAACTTTTGCAATCCAATCGCATATTTATTGGCGAAAAAGCCACTCGGAACCGGAAAACTTTTGTTGTCGCCATACGCTTTAATCAGTCTAATTTTGATTCGTTTAATACAAAGTTACGAAAATTGCTAGCCGGCGTGTTGTCTTATACTGCCGAAAATATCCATGGATCTTTCCGGTGAAAGCGTCATTTCCCAAACCCCTCATTGCAATCCTTCACATTCAAACTTGCAATTTACAGAGCATGTCCCAATTCACGTCATTCTAGAAGGGAAATTTTAAGCGCTATAAAGTTATTCGTGAAAACCTAACCAAGGCGAGGTTATTGAAGCTTATACGATCTTTCCAAATACTCTAAATGCTCAATTAGAGTTGACTGGATCGATCCGTTTCCCTATAGTCAAACTCGTCATCGTCATAAGTTCTTTCCCCATCGCTAGGCCGTCTATAGAGGCCAAACTAAAAGCTCTGTTCTTGTAACTAACACAACAAAATCTTACCTTGTTTCCACTCAAAATAAAGCTGATCGATATGTACAGGAGGAAGTCTTGCTCTGCGCAGCTCGACCCTTTCATAGCAATTCTTCGAGGGTTGTCGAACAGTGCTAAAGCAAAGATAAAAGTTAGAAGAGGAAGGCTGTTAACCCTTTTCTGATGATCCCTCCAGGAAGGTACTCCATCACCGCGTCGGGACGGCATCAGGAAGGTACTTCAAGGAAGTTGACCAGAAGAGGTTGGAATTCGCTAAAATAAAACTTGCGTTGGAAACATCCACTCAAAAGCGGTCACAAACCACAACATTTAAAAACAAATATAGCCAAAACGTCTTACATTCTGTTGCTCCTTCTCCAAGCTTTCCATGATCGGCTCCTCGCTGAGAGCTGGCCAATTCAGAAGCTCTCGGGTTCGTGTCGGCTGCTACGGGCAGGGCATTTCGGTCGGAGAGGAGCCCGATGGCCTTATCTTTTTCCCTTCTCTGTGCCCCTCTTGTAAAGCTCCAGCGATTGATGGTTGAGTTCGAGCTAGAACAGCCTCGAAGTGAGATGATCCTTGATCCTTTGGCATCGGTTGGCCCTCCATCCGTTGGATCTAAATAAAGAAATACAGCCGGAGAGCAGCGAGTTAGGAAAATAGAAAATCGATCATATTTCTTGTTTCAAAAATACTACTTGTCGGCTATGCATCCATACATGCATCATCTCGGATAAGTTGGGGGCCGGTGCGCCAAGCTCTCTGCGCAAGGCAGGTCCCGGAGGGATCAGTGCTGCAAGCTCTCTAGGATTTGTTCTAACTCTCTAGGGGTGTGGATTAGAGTGTGCTCCTCCGCGAGTGATGCGTTTTCAAATGCACACTTGCAAAATGACCCTAGGTTTGGCGCAAAAAGCTGGCCTGTTGCAACAAAAATGGCTCGAAAAAAGTCAAGCACCGACTTAAATACGATTCCTTTGAAAGGTATTCAGCCGTTTAAGGGATTTGGCCGGAAATTCTCTTCAAATGAAAGTGTCTTGCGTGCTTATTATTCTCTAATAACAAAAAAAAATCGACAAGATCAAAGTTGGAAACATTGACAAAGCAATAAAAAGCAATATCACGGAATAAAAATGACTCAAAATATTAAAAGGTTATAAAATACCTCGAGAAAATGACTTTGCACAAAAATACCTGCGAAAAAAATTGAGGAAGCTTGGCATGTTTTAAAATCTTGTCATCGTCACTAATCGATTCAACTGGGCTGCGTATCGGGCGGCAAACTTCTAAAAATGAGCGGATAGCCTTATTTGAAAAACTTGTTGAGCATTCTGACAATCTCATAGCATTAATTCTGCAATCGCTTTATCAACCCACCTCTTTCCAATCGATCCAACTCTTGTGGCCATTCTTGTTTCGGAGTCATCGATTCGATCGCTTTTCGATTCGGCATATTGGCAAGATATCCAAAGTCATCACGCTAAAAATACAGTGAGCTGAAGAATTTTCAGAGTACTAACCCGATCACTATGAACGTTTTGTGGATCACTATCGAATCCCTTTTCGATTAGTCACGCAATAATATTGTGATCGTGAAGATCAATCGTCTTCTCAACAGCCCCTTGCACAAATCTGACCTGGAAAAGAATCAGATAAAGAGATTAATAGATTAAATAATTTACAAAAAGGCTAACCCCACCTGATTCTGAAGAGTCGTCAATCGAATTTCGTGTCGTTTCGTCTCCGTTGTATCCTTTCCTTATAGAAGCGTTCCCTTTCAACGAAATGATCGCGAAAAATCTCATCAGTGCTCGGATAATGATACAGTTTTTGTGATGGATTGAAAGGACCTAAGAAATAAAAATAGTACTTCCAACCCTTTTGAGCAGTTTATAGGTGTCCAATAACTAATAATAAGATGTTACCATTTTTCTGAAGTAAGATTATATTATACCTTGAAATGCCTACCATCTTCTCTGAGTTCTTTCCCTACAATCCGACGACGAACATTGTCAATGATAGCATTTGGTCGATGTGAGAGGGACACTCGTTGACCAGCTAAACACACCAAGAGAATCATAAAAACCCATTAATTTTACCCTGTAGCTAGTCCATCGCATCCATTTAGAAGAACTGTCTGAATCAAAGGGCACAACCCAAGCACATAGGAACTTTACAGGAAAACTATAAAAATACCATTTCGGCTCTGCTTTTTGATTCTCTTCTTCCGTCAGCGTTCAACTCAGCTCATCCGCGACGGGGAAGAGTTTGTCACTCATTGGACTAAACTTAAAATATTAACCGTACTACGAAACCGTACATAATCTACCTGATATTTCGCAGACGCTGCATCATCTCCACCTTCAGCTCAGAGTTCCGAATTGTCCCACCGGAGGAGCCAAGGCCCATTAGTCTCTTCTCCATATAAATTCTATGAATAACCTTGACTGTCACCAAATATTGATAAAGTTCATCGTCGATGAATCCGGAAGAAGCGATACGCTGTCTCAACTCTTCTGACGGCGGATTTCGAAAACATTTGTCTCCTGAAACAACATTCCTCGAATCGTTCTCATCGATGGAGACCTTTGTAATGTCGGCCGCATTTACCAAAATCTTGTCAAAAAACTGAATAAATTTCGATGCATGTATACTTGAAGTCCCACCTTTTCTTCAGTGTCGTCCTTTACATTGATCGGACGCCCTCGTACCGACAACACCCCATAAAGCTCTCGGCCAACCACTTAAACATTTAAGTAGCTCGGCTTTTTGAAAAAGCAAGTTACCCCTCTGATCCCGCCATTGCCAAAGCTTTAGCTGATACAAAACTCACATTCACCCTAAAATTAGTAAATTAAGGATACGTATTACAAAACTCACAAAGTTCTTAAATCGTCTAAATCTTCATGCTCCTTTCTGCGTAGATCAAACGTATTCTGAAACCAATCAGCTGACCTTCTGGCAAATCTCCTTTGTTGCCACGTACATATTGGGGGAGCGAGTACATATTCTCGTGGATTGTACTTCTTGTATTGGGCCGAAAGATGCAACGCCAATCCGGTTTTCGCTTTTGCTTTGTTGCATTCTTTGGCACTAAAAGTTTTTTTTTAGAAAACAGAAAAAAACAATAACCATAAACTAATTCTTGATGAAAAGATAAGTAACGAAGACTTCTTGAAGTTGAATAAAACTCGGAACCTTTAAAAGAATTTAAAAGACAAAACGATTAAACAGACCTGATTCATTGAGCTCGAATAAAGGTTTGGGTCGTACAAAGTTTGAGACCTCAACCCGTAGTAGCATAAGACTTAAAGTTTACATGTTTTATAGTGCCGTTAAGAGAATGTTTTTCTGAAATGCAATGGTGAAAATTTTTATTCATTTCATGCACCACACTGAATAGAGATCCCGTTCCTCACAAAATAATTATCAAAAGCATTTTATTTTCTGCCACAGCTAAAGCATAACACAACAGCATGCCATGTGATTGCGAGTTTGTAAAGAAGAACTTATTTAGGCGAGTAAACAATATCAAGGGCTTGAATCCATCGGTTTTCAGGTTCATTTAAAAGCACTTCGATCCTCGATTTGCCTTTAGTAAAGGAACGCTCGAGTAGGAGTCTGCTCTTCTTCATAGGAGTCTCGTTCTTGCAATGGTCCCAATTCTTCTGGGCATTTTTCCCTGCTAAAAATAGAAATTGTTTTTAATAGATACAATGATGATTTCTTCAAAGTAAATCGAAAACACTTACTACCTTCTATAATATGTTGATGAATCGATGGGTCCCATGTCACCATCTCCTTGGGGTCAGACTTAGGTCGTGATTTGTCTTCGGGGCGTTTATTGGCATCTGTCGCCAATTGATCGGCCTGAAGTTAACAAGATCAATTAAAGTAGATAGGAATTGAGCTATAAATAACATATCTAAAGCATTACCTTCTTAAGGCCCGGATCCTCGTCTTTTGTGTGACTCGTTACGTATTGAATAACGACCCCTTTCGGAAAATTGCCCGCCACATACTTCAAGTAGTTCAAGCTAAACAGAAAATATAGAGAATACAAATGCAAGAGCAAACTTTCTCAGATCTTCAACGTCCAATTTATGAATTTTCTTATCGCGATAGGTAATAGGTTGATTGTTGAAATGCTTAATTGCCCACAAACAGTCTGTCCGAAGCATCACTTTTTCGCCCCTGAATGATCAATATATTTCCTTTTCACGCAAAATTACTGAGAATTATTATTATCATAAAAATGGATAGTGCTTACTTGTATTCAGGCCAACAGTAGAGCCGATGGACGCCACTCCCATAGCGACACATTCTGCTTTTAAACGAGTCGTCGAGTTGACCGATTTCGACATTTCCTAAATTTGAGTAAATTTACAAATTTTCATGGACTAATTTAAACAGTAGTCAATACGGTTCAATAATACCAAGACCAAAACTAATTTTTTGCTAGTTCGGTACTATAGTCATAGCAAAAAGACACTTACAATTCGAGCGGGTGCGATTCTCCAACATATATGCCGATTGCCGCCCTACCAGCCCGATCTATTCGCTCCTTCAATTCCTCTAGCTATTTCTGTTTTTTTCTTCTTATCTTTCCCGATTTGCGTGTGTGGAATGTCTTGCTTCCCTTTCGTCAAGCTTCTTCCGTTGACTCGGATCGAGGACGTGATAATGGCTGCCATCAGAATAGATAACGATTCACGTTCCCGCTTCGAATAACTGATTTGTAATCTCGGGTTCAGTCGTAAAACCTGCAAAAACAAATAAATGACTATTGTTTAGCAACTTTTGAACTTTTAGCACAAAACTTTAACATATCTAGCATTATATGAGTTTAGAACTGTCTCCAACCCAACAAAACAAATGAAGCTACCGTAATTCTTCCAATTGTAAGGGTCTTCTTTTTCCCTCCATTGTTTCCAGCGTATTTGGACAGCCTAAAAACAATAAAATGAACCATTGAGAGAGCCAGAAATCAAATAGACCGTTAGACAAATAGAATGCCATGAATTTCGCTATTAATTAAAAAGTTACAGCTTTATCGAACTCCAATGCGTCCAATCCAGCTTCTAACCGATCCGAAGAGACCGTTTCTGCAGAGGGCTCACGAAAACAATTAATAGAACTTAAAATCAAAGAAACCCCAAAGAAATAATAAACCATAAAGTTAAACTGAAGAAAGAGGGAACAAACCTCGATACCATTCCTCTCAACCTAAGCCAAAATTTGTGGAGTAGCGAGCAAATCATCCTGAAAAAAAATATCGGGGTGGCTAATTCCCGCAACAGGGTCATTTGAGCAACTGAGGCGTTTGCGCAACTCGCCATAACTTTCTTCTATGAAATTAAAAATTGTAAAGATTAGTACACTTAGAAGAAAGTTATGGCGGGTTGCGCAGATTCAGTGCTCAAATGACCCTGTTGCGCGAAATAAATGGCGGAAATTAGCCTACTTCAAGATATGAATGAATGAAATGCTTTGCTTTGGCAAGAAATGAAGCAAGGAATATGCAAATTTGGCAAATTTTTCGTATGCAAATTTCGGCTATTTTATCGATCTTGAGAATAAGTTTGTGCTTTTTCCTTATTGATCTTTAAGCGTTGACAATTTTATATCCCACTTCTAAAATTGGGTTATAGATAAAAATTCAACAATTTCTTTTTAGAAAAGCATCCGCGTCTCTTGAAGCCGACATTGAGAAACTCGATGGCCAAGTTGTGTATTCGATAAACAAAGAGTCATCACCAGTCTTGGTTAGAAGCTTTGTGATAACAACGTTAATGGTGATTGGATAATGTTAAGTTTAGCCTGTCTCCGATCACTCGCTAGCTGAGAGGCCCGAAACGTTGCCGGATCTTCTAAAACAGCCTCAGCTAGAAGCGGTTAGCCGTATTTTTAGTCCCACTTAAAATTGAATTTTAGAAACTACGCTCGCTTTTTTTCGCAATTCATGGAAATTGAGCATTCGTGTTCGCTCGAAAGCTCATTCGAGAAGATTTTGCATTCCGGTGAAGTTTAGTTAAAAGCAATTTCATTTAACATGATGTTTCTAGATAAAATCTCGAACTCGGGTAGCGGTGAACAAGAAATTCGGTGATGGTGAAGAATAAGTAAACATTTGAAAAAAGCTTCATCATGATTTTTAAAAGTTTTAGCAAGACGTTAAAGCTGGTCTATTAAAAGGCCGTTTATGGGATCGATTTCGATACGCCAGCCCGGGCCTGAGCCAAACACAAGTCAGCCGTCCTAAAAAAGTTTGTTTTGCTCTTGGAAACTTTTTTGACATGAAATTTTAATTTTAGTTTAAAGCAATGCACCATCAACCAGCATTTGAATAATTTCGAAATGACGATTTTCCGATGTTCTTTGAGAAAACAATCACAAAACTCTTCGTTGATAGACTTGTTTAACGAATATGGGACAACCGGTTTATTTAAAATGACGAAATTTCAATGCATGCCTTTAGTTGGATTCATTCTCCAAGTGTTTGCATATGCATCTCCCTGAAGGCATCACCTCATTTCGACAACATCCTGATCAGTAGCGATAAATGTTTTCTTTTAGTTTCTTGATTTTAGACGATGGGAAGTCAGATTTTGCGCCTTCTTTCGACAAGAACTCTAAGCAAATCTCCTTTGTTAATAGTGTGAACACTACAAAAGTAAGTTGTGTTTGTTGGTTTTAAAATAATTGGGCGTATGAATGGTGGAATTATCAATCACCTATCAATCAATAATTTCAGGGTGGACAACACGTTGAGCACGTCATGTCACAAGTTGTAGAAGCTGTCTGGGACAGCATCTGGGAAGTGTAGGACAGCATGGCCCGACGCCGTCGTACAAAATGTTAATCGAGGTTTTAAGTCGATAAACTACGAGTAATCTTATTTATCTGATACGGACCTGCCTAGTGCAGAGGCTTGGCGCACCGGCCCCAACTTATCAAGATGATGCATGTATGGATGCATAGCCGACAAGTAGCATTTTGCAACAAGAATATGATCGATTTTCTCTATTTTCCTAACTCAAGGCTCGGCTGTATTTCTTTATTTAGATCCAACGTTGGAGGGCCAATCGATGCAAAAGAATTAGTTTATGGTTGTTGTTTTTCTGTTTTCTAAAAAAAAATTTTAGTGCCAAAGAATGCAACAAAGCAAAGCGAAAACCGGATTGGCGTTGCATCTTTCGGCCATCTTTCGAAATTTATTCAGTTTTTGACAAGATTTTGATAAATGCAGCCGACATTAAGCAAGGTCTCCATCGATGAGAACGATTCGAGTGAATGTTGTTTCAGGAGACAAATGTTTTCGAAATCCGCCGTCAGAAGAGTTGAGACAGCGTATCGCTTCTTCCGGATTCATCGACGATGAACTTTATCAATATTTGGTGACAGTCAAGGTTATTCATAGAATTTATATGAGAAGAGACTAGTGGGCCTTGGCTGCCTCCGGTGGGACAATTCGGATCTCGAGCTGAAGGTGGAGATGATGCAGCGTCTGCGAAATATCAGGTAGATCATGTACGGTTTCGTAGTATGGTTAATATTTTTAAGTTTAGTCCAATGGTGATAAACTCTTCCCGTCGCGGATGAGCTGAGTTGAACGCTGACGGAAGAGAATCAAAAGCAGAGCCGAAATGGTATTTTTATAGTTTTCCTGTAAAGTTCCTATGTGCTTGGGTTGTGCCTTTGATTCAGACAGTTCTTCTAAATGGATGCGATGGACTAGCTACAGGGTTAAATTTAATGGGTTTTTATGATTCTCTTGGTGTGTTTAGCTGGTCAGCGAGTGTCCTCTCATATCGACCAAATGCTATCATTGACAATGTTCGTCGTCCGGATTGGCAGGGAAAGAACTCGAGAAGATGGTAGGCATTTCAGGTATAATATAATCTTACTTCAGAAAAATGGTAACATCTTATTATTAGTTATTGGACACTCATAAACTGCTCAAAAAAGGTTGGAAGTACTATTTTTATTTCTTTAGGTCCTTTTCAATCCATCACAAAAACTGTATCATTATCTGAGCACTGATGAGATTTTTTCGCGATCATTTTGTTGAAGGGAACGCTTCTATAAGGAAAGGATACAACGGGAGACGAAACGACACGAAATTCGATTGACGACTCTTCAGAATCAGGTGGGGTTAGCCTTTTTGTAAATTATTTAATCTATTTAATCTCTTTTTATCTGATTCTTTTCCAGGTCAGATTGTGCAAGGGGCTGTTGAGAAGACGATTGATCTTCACGATGACAATATTGTTGCGTGACTAATCGAAAGGGATTCGATAGTGATCCACAAAACGTTCATAGTGATCGGGTTAGTAATTTGAAAATTCTTCAGCTAACTGTATTTTTAGCGTGATGACTTTGGATATCTTGCCAATATGCCGAATCGAAAGCGACTGAATCGATGACTGCGAAACAAGAATGGCCACAAGAGTTGGATCGATTGGAAGAGGTGGGTTGATAAAGTGATTGCAGAATTAATGCTATGAGATTGTCAGAATGCTCAACAAGTTTTGTTAAATAAGGCTATCCGCTCATTTTTAGAAGTTTGCCGCCCGATACGCAGCCCAGTTGAATCGATTAGTGACGATGACAAGATTTTAAAACATGCCAAGCTTCCTCAATTTTTTTCGCAGGTATTTTTGTGCAAAGTCATTTTCTCGAGGTATTTTATAACCTTTTTAATATTTCGAGTCATTTTTATTCCGTGATATTGCTTTTTTATTGCTTTGTCAATGTTTCCAACTTTGATCTTGTCGATTTTTTTGTTATTAGAGAATAATAAGCACGCAAGACACGGCAAGGCTATACAAACTTAGTGAAAATGATATTAAGATTCGGTGTAAACAACAATTTTCCTAACTTCGTCCACGTCACAAAATGTCCAAGTTGGAAACCAAAAAAGCTCCCGATATGCTTTTGGGTGGAATGAGAGAAAAGCGGGAAAGGATTTAAATCCAGTTTTCTAGTATCGGCTGTTTTCTGGGTTTGAATATCCTTTCATTTGAAGAGAATTTCCCGCCAAATCCCTTAAACGGCTGAATACCTTTCAAAGGAATCGTTTTTAAGTCGGTGCTTGACTTTTTTCGAGCCATTTTTGTTGCAACAGGCCAGCTTTTGCGCCAAACCTAGGGTCATTTTGCAAGTGTGCATTTGAAAAAACGCATCACTCGCTAGGAGCACACTCTAATCCACACCCCTAGAGAGTTAGAACAAATCCTAGAGAGCTTGCAGCACTGATCCCCTCCGGGACCTGCCTAAGTGCAGAGAGCTTGGCCCACCGGCCCCCAACTTATCCGAGATGATGCATGCATGCATGCATAGCCGACAAGTAGCATTTTTGCAACGAGAAATATGATCTATTTTCTCTATTTTCCTAACTCAAGGCTCGGCTTTTTTTCTTTATTTAGATCCAACGATGGAGGGCCAATCGATGCTAAAGGATCAAGGGCCATCTCAATTCGAGGCTGTCCTAGTCGAACTCAACCATCAATCGCTGGAGCTTTTTACAAGAGGGGTACAGAGAAGAGAAAAGATAAGGCCATCGGGCTCCTCTCCGACCGAAATGCCCTGCTCGTAGCAGCCGACACGAACCCGAGAGCTTTCGAATTGGCTGAAGCCAGCGAGGAGCTGATCATGGAAAGCTTGGAGAAGGAGCAACAGAATGTAAGACGTTTTGCTATATTTGTTTTTAAATGTTGTGGTTTGTGACTGCTTTTGAGTGGATGTTTCGTACGTAAGTTTTATTTTAGCGAATTCCAACCTCTTCTGTCAACTTCCTTGAAGCACTTCCCGATGTCGTCTTCGACGCGGTGATGGAGTACCTTCCTGGAGGGATCATCGAAAGGTTAACAGCCTTCCTCTTCTAACTTTAATCTTTGCTTTAGCACTGTTCGACAACTCTCGAAGAATTGCTATGAAAGGGGTCGAGCTGCGCAGAGCAAGACTTCCTCCCTGTTCATATCGATCAGCTTTATTTTGAGGAAACAAGGTAAGATTTTGTTGTGTTAGTTACAAGAACAGAGCTTTTAGTTTGGCCTCTATAGACGGCCTAGCGATGGGGAAAGAACTTATGACGATGACGAGTTTGACTATAGGGAAACGATCGATCCAGTCAACTTAATTGAGCATTTAGAGTATTTGAAAGATCGTATAAGCTGCAACAACCTCGCCTTGGTTAGTTTTCACGAATAACTTTATAGCGCTTAAAATTTCCCTTCTAGAATGACGTGAATTGGGACATGTTTGCAAATTGCAAGTTTGAATGTGAAGGATTGCATTGTGGGGTCTGGGAAACGACGCTTTCACCGGAAAGATTCATGGATATTTTCGGCAGTATAAGACCAACACGCCGGCTAGCAATTTTCGTAACTTTGTATTAAACGAATCAAAATTAGACTGATTAAGGCGTATGGCGACAACAAAAGTTTTCCGGTTCCGAGTGGCTTTTTTCGCCAATAAATATGCGATTGGATTGCAAAAAGTTACTTTGTTGGCTGACGGAATGCCATGGTTGATCCATTAACTGACCCGGTTTGTTTTTATTTAACTATCGATGAACCATTTTTGTTACGACGCTTACTGCACATTGTTCAGATCTTGTTGGGTTCAACTCTTTCGAAATTCTCCAGTCACTTTCCAACAAGCACCAGGTGCACTCTTGATGGGATCTTACCGATGATTCGAGAGTGGTACACTTCAGAGCGGCAAATTGATAAAATTTCCCTTTACGTAGTTGGCCGGGAAGTAGAACGTCAAAATGTGAGCTCTTTTGACTTTCTTATTTTGCTGAAAACTATTTGGATAAAGTTTTTGAAAAATCGGAAAGATCGACTTAAATATAATGGTCTAAATAGGCTAAATAACCATTGAAAAGCAGTTCAAAGCAATTGGATTTCGCGAGATAAATGCACAACTTTTAGTTCTATCACAATTTACCTCAATTGCAACATGTAAATTTGCTTTGCAAGTGGGGTGACATCATTTCTGCCCTCGCTTTGAAAAGAGCAAATGGGGATATCGTTGGGCTTACTGTTAGCATCGATAAAGAGCAAGAGACGTTTAGGTATGTTTTAGCATCTTTTTTTATAGCGGTTGAACCGCGTGCAATGAGACTCTCTATTGCAAAATTGGTTTAGCTGGTTCTCCATTACTCGACTAGTGCCGGGCCCGAGAGCTGACTTATATATGGCGTATGACCACGCAGAATAATGCACAATATTTATTCCGTATTTTGGTTTAAAGGCTATTTTTTGTTCTCTATGATGTGATGTGTTTTATCATGATGAAAACTGAAATTTCTATGTGCCATTTTGTCCATTGTGATTTTGTCTAATGTCTCGATAAAGAATGACGACCTGTGTTTGCAATTAGAGCCAGTAAACAATGTAGAATCAGGTTTTCGATTCCAAAGCCTCTACCCGGTTTTTAGGTCTGGCGAGGCATCCGCGTGTGTTTTTCTGCTATACCTTTGTGTCAAAGTTGAGCAATGATTGAATTGAACTATAGGATCAAATTGAAAGCTGAAAGTCGAAATCTATCCAAACTTGCTTACAATATTATTCATGCTATACATCGATTCTCGCGATTCCGTCATTTTCCCATTTAGAACCACACCTAGAGGTCTGGAACAATAGAATCGATCTATAGAATTGATCCGGAAATCGAGAACCGATAGAGAAGATTGAAGCGAAAAAAGGAAAAATGAATAAAATGAATAAAAATCGATAAAAAGTGGTTAAAAACTAGCTAAAAACGATATCAATCGTTAAAAGTGATCAAAAAATGGATGATAATGGATGAAAATAGTCAAAAAATGGATAACAATTGATGAGAATGGCTTCAAAATGGGTAAGAATCGTTAAGAAATGTTCAAAAATGTCAAAGAAAATAAATAATTACCCATAAAAATCAATAAAAATCACTCAAAAACGTGAAAAATGGTGAAGAAATGGATAAAAATGGCCAAAAATAGCTGAAAATCGACAATAATTGTCAAAAATGATCAAAAAAACAGATAAAAATCAATGAAAGGGAATTAAAATCGATAAGAATGGTCAACAGATGCATAAAAATCCATCAAAATGGTCAAAAAATCGATAAAAATTTCCTATGATTTCCTATGATTTCCGATGATTTCCTATCCTTTCCTATCATTTTCTATTATTTTCTATCATTTCCTATCATTTTCTATCATATCCTATCATTTTGAGATCTGAAAGATATGTTTATGTTTCATTCTTATTCAACCTTTGTATCTTAATCCTGTAAAAATTGTTTGCAAACCATTTACCGAAAGTGCACAATCATTTGTCAGACATTACACTCGTTTCCTTCTCTAAAGTGTTTCGTTTCTTTTTTATCGTTTCCTCTAAAGTGATGTCCGTTCTCACTGTCGATCCGACACATCTGAAAGTGTTCACCCATCAAAGAAACGATCGACTTTTTGAGAGAAAAGAAAAAAACATTGACAGCTCGTTTTGGTGGTTCATTTTTCAAACGAATGAAGTTTGTTCGAGTTGGATTTTCATTCAATAGTAGTTTACAAATGGATTTATTAAAAAAATATGAAAGGGCTTGTGATATTTTGATAGCATAAGACCGCACTAAGCCTCAGCCTGAGCCTGAACCTGAGTCTAAGCCCGCTAAAGCCTAGCCTAGTCTAAGTTCGAGCCTAGCCTAAGTCTCAGCCTAAGCCAACCTAAGCCAGCTTAAGCCAAGGTCTAAGTCTAGCCTAGCCTAAGTTCCATTTGTCAACCATCAAGAGTTGAAGTCCAGGAATGAGCACACCCAATTCCAAATTGCCGACAACAGTCGATGCTGAAAAAGATTTGGCGTAAAAATTCGAATATAGAGTTTACAGTTTTCAAAACTTTCTAAAAATTGTCAAGTGTTTAAAACTGCAGCAATGACAATTTGTGGATCCATAAGCAATCGACAAAGTGATGTGCTATCGCTGACATGCTCTTGGAATTGGAGTTTTGGTGGAAGAACCAAGAGTTGGAGTCCTGAAGAAAACTGAGCAATTTTTTGACTAATTGTAAGCCAATTTGAGTAAGCGAACCTGCTCCAATCACTCCCAATCCAGCCAAAATCAAAAAGGAAAGTTCTTTCCCATGGAAAATATCGTACATTGCACCACCGTATGGAGGGCCGACGAGTAAGCCTGCAAAGTTGAGAACAGAGATTGATAATGTTTCTTGAATGTACAGGCCCATAACTATAGGTGCAGTGGCTTATTTTCTATTATTATTAACTATCACAATCTCCTCAAAGCTGAAATTTTGCACTGGACACAAAAGCATTTCAAAAATCAAATTTCGACATTCCAAGAAGACGGAGCTCCAGTTCACAAAGCCAAGAAAGTCCAAAATTTTTGCAAAGTTTTGCAAAGTGCAAGTTTCCTGATTTGATCTCTTTTTCTGAAGCTCGCCAAATCTCCATTCAATGGATTATTCTGTCTGGTCCGTCCTTGAGGTCAAAGTTTGCTCAAAATGTTGAAAGTTTAAAGAAAAGTCTTCTTAAATCTTGAGATGAACTTCTCATTTTTTGTTTTTTCATGGTTTAAAATTAAGATTTTTGGTTTAGATTATGAAGTTAGGGTAATGATGGCTTTACAAAAACGTTTCTAAACTAATCTAGTTGTTAGGCTGTCCAGAAAGTCTTTTCGTTCCTTTTCGTACTTCCGTTTAAAACCAAAAAATTCACCAATTGAACTACGGTTTGTTTCATTAAAAAAATCAATTATTTTTCTGCAAAATAACATTAAAATGAGTTTAAAATGTCTTATATCTGGATTTCTTTGGATCAAAGAAGACTTTAAGACTTTAAGAGAAATGAGAAGTTCATCTCAAGCTTTAAGAAGACTTTTCTTTAAACTTTCAACATTTTGAGCAAACTTTGACCTCAAGGACGGACCAGACAGAATAATCCATTGGAAGGAGACCCGGCGAGCTTCAGAAAAAGAGATCAAATCAGGAAACTTGACTTTGCAAAAATTTTGGACTTTCTTGGCTTTGTGAACTGGAGCTCAAAGAAATCAAAAAAGCTCAATTTAAAAAGTAGACTTTTTTTGAGTTTTCCATTTTCTCCCTGACATCGCATAAGAAAGAGGCTTTCTTGAAAACTAAAGCTTCGGTTAAAATTTGGTTCCATTAGAAATTTTTGTTCATTTTTACGTTAATATTTGTTTTTAAATTTAGTTCAATTTCTAAAATTTTACCACAAAAAGTTTATTTGAAGGCAAACACTCAAAAAAGTGACTTGAGACACTAGAATCGGTGAAATCTTCAAAATGATACCAGAAGCTGGTTCTGATTTTTTGGCAATAAATTCTCATAGTTTATTCAATTTTTGAGTAAAAAACTTCAGAAGAATCGATGGTTTGGTTCTTAAGAAATTTTTAGTTATTTAAAATCAAAAATCGAGGGTGGTCCTATCATTTTGCAACGTACTGTATAAACTGAGTTCTGAACGAGCAAACATGAGCTTGCCGTTTTTATTGATAATATCGATAAGCAAGTCTAGTGAACGCTATAATAGATGAGTGAGATCGGTTTTTGTCCAAACCTTTAAACGATAAGACATATTGAGCCATTTTGTGACAAAGATCACAATCGTCAGCAATTGTAAGCTATGAGTTTAATATAGAAAATTTCATTTCATCGAAGAACAAACCTGGATAGTAACCACTAACCTGGATAGTAACCGCTTTTGTTCATAAAGATTAATGATTAAAACAAAAATCCAATCAAATATATCAAAACCTATCGATGTGGGGTTGGAAAATGTAGCTGACGATGAGATCTTGTGGGGGATTAGAGTGTTGAGCTTCTGAAAAAACTTGGAAACTGTAAAATAGTCATGAACTTGGCTCAGCAAGGTGCACTACTACAGTGCGTTTCAAATTCTTAAACGCACCCTCTAAAATAGCGGATTTTGCATTTTGACCACCGCTACCACTATTAATCTTTTTCTATTAGAAAGAGCATGTCTTAAAACCTAAATAACACGAAAAAGAAGCATACTGTAAAAGGCTCAGCGAGGTGCACTACTATTAGGGAAAATACGATAACCGGATACAGCTCAAAGGAGGGTCCGAATTAGGGCGGACCCTCACTAAAGTTGTCGACAGATAGGTGAGTAATAATTTTTGATGGTTTTCTGTCGAAATGATTGAAGGAAATCGGTTTATCAATAATTTATCAAGCATTAATAGATGACCTTGAGTGCAGCTAGTTTTGCTTGCAGGGAAGTAGCGAAAATCTGGCCTAAATCAGGGTAAAAGTTGATTAGAAAAATTTGAGCATAGTGGCACCCGGAAAGCGGACAAACTCATTCGCTTACTTACAAAAAAAGAAGATATTCAGCTGTAAATTTTCGAGAGTTTTCGAGGTTAAACGATTGGCGAAGCAATGAAAGAGTTTACTAACAATTCTAACTTCAACAACTTCATTCTAACAACTTCTAACAATTTCTTGATCTTCTTGTCGATAAACACTTTAGAAATCTTCGGCTGCAGTTCAAAAACGATTGGCGTTATTCATTTTAATGAGTCTACTAATTGGAACTGGAGTTTAATTGGTCTAAACTTTTAGACATATCTTGGAGCAGAGATTTGCAGCTTTCAAATGACATATAATAAGTATGGGTCCAAGAAAACATTTCTATTTTGTCTGTCGATAGTTTTAGTAAGAATCGGTCTTAGATTTTGACCTCTCCTTTAAAAAACAAAATAGATGAATCACTAAAATTCAGGTAAAAGCTCTGCACCAATTAATCAGCTATTTGCGAACGAAATGGCATGTGGAACCACAAAATATTATTGGTAAGTTGAAAAATAGTTGAAGAGACAAGTGTTTTCAGCTCATCACGAAAATTCGCCATGGCAAAGTACGATATTTCGGGCTATTTTTCATGGAAATCACTCTACGATGAATTCAAGGAGAATGTGGGACTTTGGAAGAGTAATCTCACAGCAGCTCAACAAAAAGAAGTTGTTCTATCGGATAAAATAAAGGTTTGCCTAGGTTGAAAGTTAAATTTTCAAATTTTTCCTTTAGAATGCCACTCTCTTGAAAGAAGTGCAACAGAAGCTTTACGAGTAAGTTGGGTTATTCAAAAGTAATGAAAGAGTTTAGTTCTAACAATTTCTTGATCTTATTATCGAGAAACACATTACAAATCTTCGGCTTCATTTCAACTTTTTATTTTTAGGTACGGTCATGGATACATTGTTGTTGGAGATCCGTACAGCACCTCAGCCACCAGCAAAGTCACCACCGCTCTCGCTATTCAGGCGTTCAACCGGAAAGTTTTGTCCAGAGGTTTGTCAAGTTTATTTTTTAAAGTTTTTGAATTGATTCACAAGTGTTATAAGTTTTTTGAATTGATTCCTAAAAATGCCTTTTAACACATACGCGACGAGATAGCTCACCGGTGAGCGCATGCGCTTCTATTAGAGTATTTACGGTATTTTTAGATTTAGGCTTAGATTCACATTTGCATTTACAATTTACAAATTACAACAAAAGCTGTCGTCTGAAACGGCAGCCAAGCCAAAAATGACTTTGTCGGGAATTTGTTAAAAACTAGACCTGGTTTTCGAATCGAATCAGCCCAATTCGATTCGATTCGAAAAATTTGGTCGATCGATTCGATAGATCGATGGATTCGAAGTTTTTACATTTTCAGTCTGGACCTAACCGATTCGATTCGGAAAAAAGCTAGACCGAAAACCAGCTCTATTACAAACTACAATATACTGACTGTTTTTTAATTTAAAGAAATGGATAGTCATTGAGCTTTAATCACGATCAGTAACATTTTGAGATCCACTATTTCATCAATTAAAAATCAAAAAATAAACCATCAAGGGTTACTTTTAGGTATTCATTCTCGAATCGGTAAAAACGGAAACGAGGTGACACATGCTGAGAATCTTCAGGTGAGCAAGGGAATAAAGTTATGAGCGAATTTTTTCTAGTAAAAAATAAGGCCCTGCCAAAGGCGATGGAATACGTGTAGCTCATTGGTAGAGCGTTCGCCCTGTAAGCGAGGGTGACGGGTTCGAATCCTGAAGCTAACCATGTATTCCGCAACCCATAAAAGGACCGGCTTATCTAGCTGTTTCCTGTTTTAGTGCATAAAAAGGCTCTGGCTTGGCCCAATTCTTGAACAGGACTGTTTCAAAGACAATTTTTTCGGGCCAGGGCCTGAGCCTCGACCTCTGGTCTGTCCTTTCCTTGCCTGTTCTATTGGATTGGTGAATTGAAAACTGCGGGACTTTGAACTAAAATTTATTCAACATAAAACCATGAATTCATTCCAAATAATTTCCATTATTATTGACGACTTCTGCCCATTTTACGGGCAATTTGCGGATTCCTCTTTCGTAGTAGGATTTTGGTTTGTGTGTGAGACAAGTGTGAGACTCAAAAATGGAGGACTGGAGATGTCCCAGTTTGAGCACTTTCTTCAAAAGAAACCCATTTTGGTGTCAATAGAAAAGTTGTAGAGAATCAAAAATTAGGCTTATATCCAAATTTCCAAAAAAGATACACTTAGTAGTTTCGCTTCAAATGCAAGTTTTGTGAAAATTCGTAAATTTGGCATTTCTTGAAAAGCAGTTTTTAAATCGTTCTGAAAATTTGGATATAAGCCCTAATTTTTGATTCTCTACAACTTTTCCATTGACACCAAAATGGGTTTCTTTTGAAGAAAGTGCTCAAACTGTGACATATGACAATAGCCGGCAGTTTTCAATTCACCAACTCAATAGATTGCTTTCTCATTTCAACACAAAATTTATCGCGTAAAACAATACTTTCAATTAATCTGACAAACAAATGATTTAAAAACGAAAAAGAAACGACGACGCGGCGCTCCCATCGACTACCTCCAAACGGCGGCGATGTCAATTGGAATGCGACGTTGCGCGAAAATTAACGTTTAAAATTTGCTATTAAGTTTATATTTTTGGAAATTTGGATATAAGCTTAATTTTTGATTCTCTACAACTTTTCTATTGACACTAAAATTGGTTTCTTTTGAAGAAAGTGCTCAAACTGTGACACATGACAATAGCCGGCAGTTTTCAATTCACCAACCCAATATTTTACGGTTTTAACAACCCTGGTATAGATGAGTGATAGCTTTGAATCTATTTCATCAAAGGCTGCACATTTTCACATTTTACAGACTTTTTATCTGAATACTCTCCTTTTCAGACCTACAAGCTCACCGTGGAGCGCCTCAACTGGTTGCACGCACACACGAAGCTTCCCAATTGCACAAACTATTAAAAAAATGGCTTGGGATTTATGAAATGAATAGATTTGAGTAAAAAAGTTGTATGAATACAAAATAAAACTAAAACTTCACAGATTTTTCAGTTTCAAACCCGTTTGGCAAAAACATTTAGTTAAAAAGCTTATTTCTTTTTACTGAACTCATCCAGTTTGATAAAAACTGGGTGAGATTTTATTTGTCCTCATTGTTTCTTATCAAACTTTTTTTTGCCTCTGTCTGTTGAAAAAAGAATCAAGAAAAAAGAATCAAGAAAATACGGAAGTCCCGTCAAAAAGTCCTTTTCTCATCGATTTTCAAATTATAAGTTGATAAGGGCAGACTAGCCTTTATTTTTGAAATATTACTGGTTTTTAACTTTAAAATGGAAATCAGCACGTCAATTCGCAAGAAATTGCTATTAGCTATCGTCTACATTGCTCTGTTGCTCGATTATTCATTGCTGACTTCTGTTGGTGAGTTTTGGACAGTTGAAAGAGATCTTAGACAGCTTTGAGCATCAAATGAAAGAGCAATTTATAAAGTTTAAAAGCTGATCATTGAGAACTAACTATAAGTATTGGGTTGGGGACTATGACTCAGCGGCTAGTTTCCATATGTGCATAGTTCTCACACTTTCTTCCAAAGCAAACCATTTTGGTGTGAATGGAAAGTTGTAGAGAATCAAAAATGAAGCTTATATCCAAATTTTCAGAACGATTCAAAAACTGGTTTTCAAGAAATGCGAAATTTACGAATTTTCACAAAGCTTGCATTTTAAGCGAAACTACTAAGTGTATCTTTTTGGAAATTTGGATATAAGCCTAATTTTTGATTCTCTACAACTTTTCTATTGACACCAAAATGGGTTTCTTTTGAAGAAAGTGCTCAAACTGGGACACCTCCAGTCCTCCATTTTTGAGTCTCACACTTGTCTCACACACAAACCAAAATCCTACTACGAAAGAGGAATCCGCAAATTGCCTGTAAAATGGGCAGAAGTCGTCAATAATAATGGAAATTATTTGGAATGAATTCATGGTTTTATGTTGAATAAATTTGCCTTTCTTTTGTCCGTCATAGTCCCCAACCCAATAGTAATTCAGTGAATAAACACCGTCCAATCTTTCACCAAAGCACTTTTGAAAGATGAATGTAATAACGAAATGTCAGCAATTCCCCTATTAAGCCTAAAAAGATCTTTGTTCGTTAAAAATTCTTCTGATTGACTTTAAAGATATTCCTTTTCGTAATTCCTTTTGAAAAATAACAAATTCATCAATTAACCTATGATTTGCTTGAATAAAAAGTGTTTATTGTTCAATTTTTCATCGTCTTAAGTCAATTTCGGTTCAATCAATGTCAAGCAATGAAAAACGTGTTTTTCGTCAAAAATTATAAGAACCTCTACAAAGAAGTTGGCTGAATGAATTTCTCTGAAAATTCGACTATTTATCTAACTTTTTATGCTCTATCTTTCATCTATTGACACCAAAATAGGTTTCCTTAGCTAAAGTGTCTAAACCCCATCATCGAGCCGCATTTTCGACTACCCGACTTCACGCTCCTAAAAAAAGCCAGACATAAGACACTTTAAACCCATTTTAAACCCATTTTAATGTTATTTTGCAGAAAAATAATTGTTTTTTTAAGGAAACAAACCGTAGTTCAATTGGTGCCCTTTTTTGATTTTAAACGGAAATACGAAGAGGAACGAAAAGACTTATGCATCAACCTAATATGCTAAAAGATGAGAAAGAAGTTGAGCCTCATGGATATCGTCCAGTTGTCTTCTTTGTTTAATTGTTGGTTTTAAACGGAAGTACGAAAAGGGACGAAAAAGACTTTCCGCCTAATAAAAGAACTGGTTTTTTAAAGAATCCGATTTTGTATTAAAGTCAAGGTCAAGGTCAAGGTCAAGGTTTAGGTTTCTTTAGCTAAAGTCTCTAAACCGCATTATCCCGCCGATGACTACTGACTTTTTAACTATCCGACTTCACGCTCGCAAAGAAATCCAGACATAAGACATTTTAAACCTGTTTTAATGTTATTTTCTAAAAAATAAATGATTTTTTAATGAAACAAACCGTAGTTCAATTGGTGAATTTTTTGGTTTTAAACGGAAGTACGAAAAGGAATGAAAAGACTTTCTGGACAGCCTAACAACTAGATTAGTTTAGAAACGCTTTTGTAAAGCCAGCATTACCCTAACTTCATAATCTGCACCAAAAATCTTCATTTTAAGCCATGAGAAACAAAAAATGAGAAGTAAACTTACCATTAGACAAGTTTTGAAGATTAACTTCATAGAATTAATCTGGCTCTGAGCCTTGAGCTCTGAACCCACTTGAACTTTAAACTTTGAATAATCTTCAACCTAAAATAGTAGACTTCATTCTTGAGTGACAATATTTGAAACCCAAATCTTATGCAGATAATTGTACCTGTGTAAATGAGCTATTAAGTTTACAGAGCCAATCTTGCCGAGCTTTTTCCTACAAATCGACAGTTCTAACACCACTTTAGTGCCTGTAAGTTTGATTTCTCATTGATTTTTAGCCAACTTTTCTTTAGACAGATCAGCCACAAGCCAGACAGGCACAAATTGAGAGTGAAAACATGAGGCTTGGGTTTTTAGTGGGCGCAAAATGTTTAGTGCAAGTCGTCACTCAACCATTTATCGGACCAGCAACAACAAGGTGAGTTATGATAATATAAATTCATTCGAATTCTTTTAGAATTGGTTTCTCGATTCCATTATTCTTTGGGTTTGTCGTGATGATTTTGTCTACAATTTTGTTTGCTTTCGGACAAAGTTATGGGATTCTTTTCGCGGCGAGGGCCGTTCAAGGGATTGGCTCGGCCTGCGCGGCGACTGCTGGTAAGCTTTCCAAGAAACCTAAGCAATATGGTGAATCAAATACACGTTAATGTGTAAACATTAATCCAATCCTGACAAAATCACAAAAGCCTTACTACTAGTACTTCTTTCATCAAACGTTGTACACTAGATTGTTAGATAATTTGGAAGACTCTTAATTATGAAATCAGTCTGACAATGGCAATGCTTTGATGCATTTATTGAAAGAACTTTTTTGAAAACGTTTAATAATGAAACAAGTCTTACAAGTCTAACATCACTCTTCCATTTAACAATCTAAAACCAGTGTGACAATGCTAACGCAATGATTATGCGTTGAAAGTAAAGCTAGGATGACACAGAAGACTCCTAATAATGAAAACCGTCTGCCAATGAGGCAATGACATCTGTATTTAGTTTGTCAAATCAAAAGACTCAAAACAATACGAGCTTTCAGGCATGGGAATGCTAGCTCAACAATATTCTGATGACAAGGAACGATCCCGTTATATGGGAATAGCGATGGGTGGAATGGCGTTAGGTAAAAAGCACAAAAACCTAACAAAATTTTACCCACTCTACATTCAAGAGGCATTATCCAATTTGTTTTCAAACTTTACACTGAAAGATATTGAGCTAAAAGTTTTCTCAAGTGACTCAAAGATGGTAGGGAAAGAAAAGGTTGAAATCGCTTGAAATACTAAGGTTCAGATAGCTTATACTTTGCCCTTGTTTGATTAGGCTCAAAGATTGAAAATCGGCGACAATCATTTATCGGATCTCTTTCAAATTTGGGTAATTAAACCAATAGAAACAATAAAACTAACAAACGGGGAGAAGCTTGAAGCTAATCCCTAGGTAAAAGGCGTAAGGTAAAAGACAGAAAAACCAAACAAAATTTTACCCACTCTACATTCAAGAGGCATTATCCAATTTGTTTTCAAACTTTACACTGAAAGATATTCAGCTAAAAGTTTTCTCAAGGTGGTCCATAATTTTAGGCGCAGATAAAAAGCTTTGTAGGTAGACAAAATGAAACTTTGAAGAGTAAACTTTTATTTTAAAATCCTTATTTGATACTATTAAATTCAAAGCGATCACCATTTTTAGCCGAGCACATTGTCTAAAACAATCTAAAACCAGTGTGACAATGATAACGCAATGATTGTGTGTTGAATTTTTAGGCACATTGTTTAGGAAAGGCGTTCACGGTCAGTAAGCATCATCAAGTTCATCTCAAGCTTTAAGAAGACTTTTCTTTAAACTTTCAACATTTTGAGCAAACTTTGACCTCAAGGACGGACCAGACAGAATAATCCATTGAATGGAGATCCGGCGAGCTTCAGAAAAAGAGATGAAAGCAGGAAACTTCACTTTGTGAGCTGGAGCTCCGTCTTCTTGGAATGTCGAAATTTGATTTTTGAAATGCTTTTGTGTCCAGTGCAAAATTTCAGCTTTTAGGAGATTGTGATAGTTAATAATAATAGAAAATAAGCCACTGCACCTATAGTTATCGGTCTGTACATTCAAGAAACATTATCAACCTCTGTTCTCAACTTTACAGGCTTACTCGTCGGTCCTCCATACGGTGGTGCAATGTACGATATTTTCCATGGGAAAGAAGCTTGCTTTTTGATTTTGGCTGGATTGGGAGTGATTGGAGCAGGTTCGCTTACTCAAATTAGCTTACAATTAGTCAAAAAATCGCTCAATTTTCTTCAGGACTCCAACTCTTGGTTCTTCCACCAAAACTTCAATTCCAAGAGCAAGTCAGCGATAGCACATCACTTCGTCGATTGCTTATGGATCCACGAATTGTCATTGCTGCAGGTTTAAACACTTGGCAATTTTTAGAAAGTTTTGAAAACTGTAAAACTCTATATTCGAATTTTTACGCCAATTCTTTTTCAGCATCGATTGTTGTCGGCAATTTGGGATTGGGTGTGCTCATTCCTGGACTTCAACTCTTGATGGTTGACAAATGGAACTCGACTGCTTTTCAACTAGGTTCACTTTGAAGTTTTTTATTTCGATCACCAACAATTTTAGGCATAATCTTCTTCCCGTGCTCGTTGGCCTATTTGATCGGGACGACTTTCGTCCCAGCGTTGGCGCTAAAATTTGGACGGTGAGACTTGAAAAAAGCAAATCTAATCGTATTACCAATTGATTTCATAAGCTAAACCTAGATCAAAGGTAATAATATGGCCAAGATTGGGTTAGAAATTGAAATTTTGGTTTATACAAGCTTGAGCCTGACCCTGATTAGGCCTGGCTCAATTCGTGCTCAAGGACGAATTGTGACTCACTTGTATCTTATAAACTTATAAAGCAAAATCAAATATAAAAATCTACAACTTAATCTACGCGTTCTTGACCTACGGTAACTCCTTTGGTGCTTTTTTTGATGCTACCGCGATACATTTTCCTCGGAGTGGATCCAGCAATACTCCAGTCTCACACGCGTAGATTAATGGTACTTTCCGGTTGTGTACCTCCAAAATTTGTATTTTAAAAAAGCTTGTCGAAAACACCTACCGTAAATACTGTAATAGTACCCCACCCCCATAATGACGGTGCGGAGCGTTGCGTAGTCTAGCTTTGAACTAGTTTTTCTCGACACTGGTTTATGCTACAATGCGCGCTTAGGTATCAAAAAATAGCTGAAATTCAGGGCTATTTTTTGATACCAAAGACGCATTTTTTGAAAGTACGGTTGCTTTGCAAAAAATGAAATACTAAAAAACTTTTGTGACTACCCGACTGTACGAGGGGGGCGGGGTACTATTACAGTATTTACGGTATGAATCAATCTGGTTATGTCCTACCAAAATTTATATATATGTCGTAAACGATTATGAATTCCAGCCAATTATAAATCAACTGATTTCGCTAGCGAAAATCATAATCGGCTAGCCAATTATGAATTATTCATAGCCGCCTAGCCAATTATGAGCGAAAGTAGCCTTTTCTAGAAATTTGTCTTCAAAAACGGCAAGCCAATGCAAATTAGTATGTTGATATTGAATTATTTAGCCCTGTGTTTAGCATTTTCTACTATATAGTCAAAACCGAACTCTTGTGAAAGTGGGGTTTTCAAAAAGTGCCCTTTTTTGGTCACTCGCATTTCGCCCTCGAAATTTCTTCAATGGTTTGATCAATTGAAGCACGTTTTAGCCTATTTTGTAGAGGAGATTTACAACTTTCAGATAATTTATAACACTCATCGATATCAGGTTTCTATCGTTGGAAACTTTGAAAATGTTGAAATCCGCATTTCTTATGCATGTACCTAATCTATCTTTATTTTTATTCATGTAAGCATAAAAAAAGTGACAACAAAACATTTTTAATTGGCAAAATGACACACAATATTGAACACAAGAAGAGAAGAATTGTAGAGACTGAAAAATAAATTAATTCTATTCAAATTTAGAGTCAAATTTAAATTTGAACTGGTTTTATATCTAGCTTGATTGTGGCAGCTAAATGAGTCAAAGCTTGATTGTAGCTTGATTGTAGCAGCTTGTTAAATGAGTCAAAAAGTTTCCGCACCTCAAATTGCAGCTGGCGTTGTGTTCTCATCGCTCTTCCAACGATCTCAATTTGTTTGGTCTCGATTTCATTAGCGCCCGCAATGTATTGGCTTTATTTACCAATCACGATCATTGGAATGTGCATTTGTAAGTAAAATTAGTCTTTGATAAAGTTTAGAGTTGAAAACTCGAAACAAATTTCAGCATTTATCGACTCAGCCATGATCCCACTGCTCGGACAAATGGCTTATCTGAAGCACAAGGCGGAAGAACGTGGGTTTAACATTTTCAGTATTGCCTAATTAAGGAAAGAATAGTAGTAGCCTAATTAATAGCTAACAATAGGCTTGCCAATTTTAGCTTGCAGACGCATTTTTAGGATTGACAGAGATTGGGCATTTCACAGAAGCTTCACCACTTTTGAGTGCAAGAAAAGAAAGTGAAGTCGATAGTGAGGATTCGCAAATCTCATCAACTTATGCAGGTTAAGCTTACTGATTATGATCTTGTAACAATAAGATCTCAAGTAATTCTTAACAAATCGTTTAGCAAATGCTTATGCGATCAGTGATGCTGGTTTGAGTATCGCCTACTGGGTGGCACCGATGGCGTCTGGTCCGTTGGTTCAATGGATTGGGTTTAAGTGGTTTGTTTCGAAAAACCTCAAACTTACTAATGAAAATGGAGAAATTTTAAATGCAATTAGTTATTAATTAAGTATTATTATTATTATTATTATTATTATTAGGTTGTCTTTTATGAATGCGCGTTTTTACTATTTTGCAAATTTCTCAAGATATCGAACAGATGTATATGAGTGTTATATATCATTCGAAAGCTGAAGATCTCCTCTACATTTTGGAATAAAAAAGTTTTTGAATTCATTCAACTTTTTGGGAAATTGACTGCACAAAGGGAGAGGTCGTTTTCGAAAAAACCCAGCTTAGCTATTCCTCAAGTTTTATGGTGTAAAATAACTGCACAGAAAAGAAAAGTAAAGTAAAGATGCTCTGAAATTGTTATATTTTTTAAAAAGTTGTATTGATATATCTATTGGCCAAACATCAAACGGTTAACTCAATTTGAGCGAAGCCAAAACTTGATCCAAAGGCACCCTTCCATTTTTTCGCCACCTCTTCTTCTGTGCAGTCAATTTGCCCAAAAGCTGAACAAATTCAAAAACTTTTTATATCAAAATGTAGAGGAGATCTCCAGCTTTCGAATAATACTCATACATATGTTTTTCTTGGTTTCGGTATCTTGAGAAATTTACAAAATAGTAAAAAACGCGCATTCATAACTGGACAACCCAATATTATCCAAATTCCAGGATGACTTGGGCATTCGCTATTGGAATCGTCTGTTTCGCTCCGTTGGCGATTTTCTTGCGAAATCCAACCGGTTCATCGAGAATTCGAGGAGATTGTTAGTCTAGTTTAGCTTTAGATTTAGAATAGTCATTTAGCTATTTTACCCAATCGTCATTGAAGTCTCAACACCGAAAAAATAAATGTAAAGTCTTTCAAATAGGCTTTTACCAATTATCGAATGTGTCTAATAAATTGATAAATAAACTTTACAGAGCTTCATGACAAATACAGAAGCGTTTAATGGATAATTCTCATTTTTATTTCATTTCATTCATTTATGGTCAAAAAGCTCGTTTTCCTCAATTTTCGAATCAAATTTTCTGGGTTTGGTTTATGAAGTAATGTCAACATTTATTATGCTCAATAAACATGGAAAGCAAAAGAAAATGAATAAAACAAGCTTTTTGACATAGACATAAGGGTATCAGTTTGTCAGATTGTACGATGCTCGAAGTCGGCAACCCTAAACGTTTTGGTTTGATTGTAGACATGGTTTCGGATCGCGTCGGATCGGTTCTGATCCAAGTTTTCATTTTTCGAATCGGATTGGATTGGATCGTATTGGATCGAATCGGATCGAATCCAAAAAATGATCCAAATCACCAAATGCTCTGCAATATGTGTACCTTTAGGAAAAATCGTTTAGGGTTAAGTTTGTTGTACGTTTTACTCATCAATTTGTTTGGTTTTTAGCAATCCACCTAATACTTGGATTACTCAGATCCGATCGCGATTCTAGCCAATTTTATTCGATCCTATCCGATCCAATTTTATTCGATCCTATCGGAGCCGATCCGAAACCATGTCTAGTTGATTGTGTAACTCACCAGAATGATCTCCACCAAAAGCACACCAATTGAGCAGCCGATAAAGATGAAACAGAGACGAAAAAGTGGCCACAAATAGATTAGGCCACGATTGTTGAACTCACTTGATGAGTGAACAGGACGTGCATAAGGTGCATATGGATGTGTATATCTAAAAACACATTAGTAAACTAAAGAAATTAGACAACTGTCAATTGCACTTTTTATTGTGGGTTTAGATATTTGAACAATTTTTTTGATCTATTAGTAAAGCGAATAAAAATTGTGTACTTGAGTACCTGGCAGCAAAATTTGCATAAGATCCTTGGATTGTTTCGAGGCCTCTATTGAGTTTTTCAAGGACATTTCTTGAGAGATTTCTAAAAATTTCAGTTTCATTTTCACTTTCCAACAGAACAAATCAAAAACTTGTTCAATGCAAAAGCGAGGTGGCTTGGTTGAAGGGATAAATCCTTTATGAAGAGCACTTTATTGACTCTGTCCATTGCGACAACGTCGGTGGGAACGAATTTCTCATTCATCCCGGCAAATGTCACCGTTTTTGGAGGCATTTTCTAAAAGGAAAAAAGAATCTAGGGTAGAAACTCTACCCTGTTGAACATAATTTTAGATTCACTTAAATTCTTGTGAATTTTCGTTAAATAAAAGCCCTAAATCATCTTTTACATATTACTTTTAGCTCAAATCCACATATAATAATAGGAAAAAACCAGCTGGTCAAAAATAGCTTTTAGAAAATTGACATTTATTTCAAAAAACCCGTACGGAAAGTGATCAGAATTTTAGGTTCACTTGAAAAAAATCAATAACTTTTTGCTTCTAAATGGTTTTCTCATGTTTTCTTTTGAATCCCCTTTTTGAAAAAGTCCTTTCCGATTTTTTGGGAGAGTACCTTAAATTTGTCCAATTTTGACGTTTTATAGCTCATCCTAAAGCTGAATTCAAGACGGATCGATTGGTAAAAACCGTTTTGAGATATCTCTTTTCTAAAAGTTTTTACAGCTATTTTAGTAAAGGGCGGCAGAGCCAAAAAATGGCTGTTTTCACGTTTCGTTAGTTTTCCGTGCAGAAATCTAGGCTAAAAACATGTGTTTCGTGATCAGCGTCAAAAATAACCCCTAGACACGCATTTTCAGAATCTTAGCAAAAATTTTTGAAAAATATTGCCACCGGTGGAAGTCGAACCAGCGACCCTCAGATCCCTTTCCGCCTTTCCGCCGCTTTTCGCGATTTTCCTTTGTTTTTCTTGTTTTTTACTAAAATAGCTGTAAAAACTTTTAGAAAAGAGATATCTCAAAACGGTTTTTACCAATCGATCCATCTTGAATTCAGCTTTAGGATGAGTTATAAAACGTCTAAATTGGACAAATTTAAGGTACTCTCCCAAAAAAATCGGAAAGGACTTTTCTATCAACCCAATACTTTTGGACTGGCCACTCACCAGCTGGTGAGTTAGCCACTCACCAGATCTCAATCCACAAGAAAACAACTGGAGAGGCAAAATTTACGCCAACAACAAGCAATATAAAGATGTTAATTCACTCAAGAAAGCGATCATCGATACTTGGCATATTGTGAATCAAAAACTCTTTGATAACCTCGTTTTGACCATGGATAATCGTCTATTTCAAGTAATTCATCGCTCAGGAGGCTCAATTGATTACTGATTTGTTGTTTCTTAAGATATTCTCGTTTTGAATTTGAATAGAACTTTTTTTTGAGAAATCCGACATTTTATAGGCGCCAACCCAACCCGATTTAGATCTAATCAATTTAAGTCAATCTCAGTTTAATATTTTGCTTTTTGTAGAGATAAATGGTAACGAAAATCACTCACCAATCCAATCTGCCAATTTGGTGTCGCTAAGAATGATCTAAAGTCAATCTTTTCTACCAATTTATTGCATATTCCAATTCACATTCTTTACCCAATACGCTCAGTTTTAAAATTTAGAAATGCCAAAGAAAACCGCTGTTTCAGAGCCCGTTCAAGCCGGGCACATTGATCGTGTGTCTGCCTGCAGAAAGTCATCGGATCATATCCATCCTCCTCCAAACGGATACGCCATCCTCAAAAGAATGTCTTGGTTCTTTACGGATAACAGGATGGGGGGACCCGGTGACGCACCTCTGGGTGCCCAGATGGCAGTCTTTGCGTGACGAATCTGTGGATCACGCGGTCCCCAATGTGTTAAGAAAAAATGTACCTTTCTTCTCCACAGCCTCCAACAAACCGTCAAGATTCACAAAATCGTAGCTAAATTTTGATGTTATTTTTTGAAAAACTACAGCAGAAAAATGGAAACAGCTAACTTTGAGTTGAAAAGTTAAGTAGTTTACCCCTTTTTCGCTGACAAAGTTAAAGCGCTCGTCAGGGCACTTTCGAAATATTGTGTGAAGAAAAAGCAGAACCAAATCCACGAGATCAAGAAGAACGCATTTGCTAGAGTGTATCTTCTAAAAGGTATGGCTTTTAGATTCTAAAAGATTCAAAAAGATTCTGTTATTACATTTTTATGTGTGGCGTATCCTGTAAGAGTAGGGTCCGCAAAGAAATCAACGACCAGTTAAAATAGCTGTTTCTTCTTTTTGAAAGTACCCAGAAAGCAAGTGAACTAAAGTTGAGGATAACTAAGTGTTTTTTTTTACTCGGCCCAGTTCCCTACTTCTTTGTTCGGTCTCAATCCAGATCGGGACGCGAACTTTGAGCTTTTTTTCTTTTAAACACAAAAATTACCTTATAAAAAGTGTAGTCAAGAGTAGAAAGAGCACAGCGGGTTGCAGAGAGTGCAAAATGAAGTCTTTAACCTAAAACTTATGGGCTGCTATCCTACTTATTATAAGGTGCAAAGTTTGTACCGTATTTTCTCTAATAGTAGTGCACCCTGATCGTCGTCTAAATTACTCGAAATCTCCGCTTATCAGAACCTATCGATGTGGGGTCGGAAAATGTAGCTGACGATGAGATCTTGTGGGGGATTAAAGTGTTAAGCTTCTGGGAAAAATTGAAAACGGTAAAATAGGCATCAACTCGGCTCAGTGCGGTGCACTACTATTAGAGAAAATATGGTATGTCTGTGTGTATGTGTGTGTCTGTTACGCATCTTTAGAAAAAAACTACTAGGCTAATGGCTGAAAATTTGACACTTCTTAAACGAAATTTTATATAGTTTCTAAAAATCACATATTATATTATGGTAAGATGGGACTTTTTGAAAAAACGGATTTGTCGCTTTACTGTGTAATCCGTGGTCGAGTGGCTAAGAGGTTGGGTTACCAATCTGGAGGGATTCTTGGTTCGACCCACCTGAACGATAGAGACTTTAATTCTTTTGCTAAAAATTTATGAATATTATAGAGTCAGATTTCAAGCTTTGCCTTTGAAAGTTTAAAAAAAGCTATTACCATCAGAACCGTAGCCAGGAAAAATTTTTCCCGCCACCGTTTAGCTTCGTTTTAAGAACACTATTGAAATTTTTGAGGCAAATATTAGTTTATAAAAACACTTTTGGGCGCAACGCACTAAAATTTTTAAAAAACACGCCAAAATTTGCACAAAAAAATACAACTTTTCATAGGAACATTTAAAAATTTTGCCGCCGTTTCGGAGGGGGGGGGGGCATTTGCCCTCCTTGTCCCCTGACTACGGCACTGCCTCCAGCTAACTCAGTTCTAACTCAGTGACTCAGTTCAGGTCAACAGCTCATTTTCAGGGTCAACTCAAACCAGGGTCGAAAAAATTCTGATTCCCAAACAAGTCTAATAGAGATATGTGCTGAAAACTCTTTACTTGAAAATCCTCGTCCTCTGCTATGATATAGCCATAAACAATGTAATTTATGGGCACTGTGAAATCAACCTAAATTTTATTAATTTAAAAAAGATTAGCATTTAATAATAATAATACTTTATTCAAACGATAAAGTGAAAGAAATCATAGAGAAATGCACAGTGATACTTAATCATACAATACATACTGAAATCAATAAGCCAATTACTTACGGCAAAGAGCCACTAGATCTAAAGCATCGACACGTTTCTTGAATATGAAAAGCGACTGAATTTCTCGTATGTCGTTTGGGAGCAAGTTCCATAATCTAGCGGCTCTAACGGGAAATGAATTTGATAAAGAGGCATTGGAAGCAAAGGGAATTTGCAAAAGGAATGAGCCACTTCTGGGCCCTGACCGCGGTTTAAATTTGAAAAAGTCTATAAACAAAGGGCTAATCTGTTTACAACGGAGGATTTTGAAAGTTTCGACTAAATCAATGACAAAGCGACGATGCTG